GACCCATGCATTGACTGAAATTCATGATCTAATATTTGTGCAGCAAAAAGTAAGTCGTCATTAGGATTTAATAAACCGCCTATTGAAATAAATTGTATCCAATCCGGCATGTCAGTAATGCTTATATGCTATCTGCTTTACAGTATGTTGATGTCAGTAATGCTTATATGCTATCTGCTTTACAGTATGTTGTAATTTATAGGTAACGTATTCAGCTATATATTTCAAAGCATCTTGGTTAATTGTTTCTCCTCGTTCAAAATGTTGGAGTAATTGACGCCCAATTTCGCAACGTAGACATTAAAGGTCAAGGGTATCCACGCGACCTTAGGTATCGCGGATGCTATATCTTCTGGGGCCTATCATTTCTTTTTTACTTCCAGACCTTATTAAGTCTTTAATTTGACCAGAAGTAAAATCTTTTTCAGCATTGTGTTTATATGAGTATATCTTGCATTAATATCGTTTATTTCCTTCAACAAATTTGTATTTTGGGAGATATATAAAGAGATATTTACCATTTTTTAAATTTATTTTATCTTGACGTCGGTATGCAATCATTCATTTTTTCAAGACGATTTCTCAAGACACATCCAAAAATGGCAAACCCAGTCATAACTATAATTACCTATTTGGTTTTATATACAAACGTTAATTTTAAATAAATCACCGGCGAATTAATATATCTAAACGTTAAGAAAAGCCACGAATAGATATCTAATGTGTTTCGCGCGGTATTCTTGCTTCGCCGTGACGTCACTGCGCCAAGCCGACACGTTATGGATTTTGATCTAGCATACCGGTGTAAGTGTATCGTGGTAGTAACGTAGTCTCTTGATTATTCGTTCTATTTACTGATTACAAGTAAGACTCGACTCTAATATTACTCCCATACTTCACTCACCAGATTTAGATGTGTACCATTTAGGCTTCCCATTAAATCCCTCTTGGTAAATTTCATGATTTTGGACTTCTGGGGATTTCAATGGTATTACCTTAGCATTTGTTCGTAAAACTTTTACAATTGTCGTTCTTTAAACTGTTTTACCATTTGTCCTTTTTTCTTTATGTCTTCCATGCAAATAATCTTCTTTTTTGAAGCGTATCTTGCCAAATTCATCTAAAACCTAAAAAATCGGACTTCAAGATGTTCAAGATCTTCTGTATTCTCGCTAGCTAGCTAGCTAGTAGAAACACTGGCCAACAATAGCTTCACAATAAGTAGACAACAGATTCTCCATCAACTCTTATTTTTGTTTACGTAATTAATACATAGCGGTTACTATCCCGAACTTATGTATCCCGATTTTTAATATGCCATCAACCAAATATACTGCCTTAAATCCGCTTTCTATAAAAACGGGGATTTCTCTATTCTTCTTCCTAAATCACACAGAACATATTTCAGTAACCTCTACCAAGAAGTCCCATGCTTTTGGTAAAAACCAACAACTTTTGAAAATAGGATATTTGAAATGCGTAATAGCATTGTGAGGCCCTTCAAAAGATTAAACAATTTCGATGATATGTCACACATAGCTTTTTTTATTTGAAACTGCTTCAACCACAAGGTTTATTAGCAATGGCCGATTTTACAGATAAGATTAGATTTTGTTAATTAATCCTGAGGAACCAAAAAGAAAGTATGGTACGGTTGCGGTCACTATGTTCACTTAGAATGTCTTTTATTGTTGTTGGTAACTGTTCATATTGTCTTTCAAATGCGTATAATGGACAATCCACTAATAAGTGATGTACTGTTAGATCACTATCACACGCGTAACACAAAGGTTTGTGTTACTTCTGTAGTAGGAAATCATGTGTGATCTTGGTGTGTTCTAATCGTAGTCTGGACATGAAGTTTTAAGATTATGACACGAATTTCCTTTGGAATGTGTTTCTTGCAAACATGGAATGGATGAATGAAATTTATTTATAAGAATTTTAAGATCTTCTAAATGGGCATGGTATCCATTGAATAATATAATTAAAAATAGTTTAATTAGTGCGGAATACTTGGACATACGTTGGAAATAATCAATCGTTCATTTGGAGTTATTCGTCTTCGGGCTTGAATACGTTCTTGATTAATTACTACAATTCCGTTGTCGTTTGCTAGAAACTCATCGACTGTGTTCACTGGTAAAGAAGATACAAATACGATCATTTATAATTTTAGAAATAGAATGTATTTTTCTGGGATCCAGTTTAGAAGTTACTGCATTAAGGTAAACTTCAATATTAGAGTTTGGGAGTGGGTGAAGTAGAATTGCTTGTTTTTTATTTGTAGGTTGATTAAGAGCTGTAGAATATAATTTTGATATAATTTTGATTGGTTTACAAGTAGATTGAAAGAACTTTCCATGGTGGACGTTCCCGCTGCTGAATCAATTTCCATGCTTGGGCTAAATAACCTGAATACGGCCCTGGTGCTTATAATGGATCATTACTGGAAGGACTGGTAATTAACCTCACGCCAAATCGGCACAATAGTTGTTTACCCTTGGTTTGTTATAGATGAAATAGGAAAATCAAACTTAGATTTTAGTCCAGTAGAAGTAACACTTTTACACTGAACCTTTGTTTAAATTTTAGATATAAACAAAATTCTACATTTGAATTCCTTATTTTGTCCAAAATAACAAGCTAATTATTAAATATCAATTATCGCTAATCGTTGAATTGTTTACTGTTCAGAGGTTCGATCGAGCATCTCACACATAACTTTGTTTTATTGAAATTTAAAGATAGAAAGCGCTTAATAAATACCCTATATGATGAAACTTTCACGAACACGCACAAAGAAAATTGGATAGGACAAGTAAAAGCTTCCTTTTACAAAAAAAAAAACAGAACCGTCAAGTTTTTGACAACCACAAAGAAATCCCTATGAAATTATATTCTAATTTGCTTTTTTGGTTTCGATTTCAATTTTTTTTTTTCAATTTGGTTTCCATTTACATAATGAAAATAGATTTAAACGAAAGGTTTATTACTAAAATATTTAATATTTAAATAAAATTGTTTAACCTTCATATAACTTTTTTGTTACGATACTGTATACTTAGTCCAAATAAAAGTGTGCATCTTCTTTAAAATTAACTGAATTATTTGTTTGTGCGATACCAAAGTTCTGGGTATAGACAGCATACCTAATTCTAAAAGGAATGGAATAAATACAAGGAATGAAATAAATAAACAGATAAATAGTAAACAACGTGAAATTTGAATAAACCTCATGCAATGTCTACGTAAGAATGCACATGCATTCGCCAGTCAATGTTCAATGATGGCGTTTGCCAATGTTGCCAATAATCAGATATTATTTGAAGATCTAGCTATAAATATAATTTAATCCAAACAATTTCAAACATCAATAAATATTACTTTGTGTATATTAATTTGCTATTTTTGTCTTAAACTTATTGGTAATAGTACCTTACAAAACTTTAAGTATAAACCTACATAATTAATAACTGTGTATGCGTTTTATTTGTGCTGTAATGGAAAGTACAGGCAATATAAATGATAAACTTTCCAATCGTTTTATCTGCTGCATTATATCATCCTTCTTCCGTACGGTAATGTATCTCTTGTTATTTTGACGAGATTGTCTTCCCTTCTACTTCTACCATTCGCTAAGTATTGATTGCGTAAATTTTTCTACGTGATGCTCATTGATTATGATGATCTCATTCCTATAGTGAACGACAAAGAAAAAATATATATGATAAATATACAAGTTAAAAGAACTGAATGATGAAACCAGAAACTTAGAAAAAAAAGTACATTTAAAAGTAGACTAAAATAATAACAATGCACAAAAAGATAACAAACATTAAGAACATAAAGAAACGAACAGATCCAGGCAAGTTGTAATACTCTCTAAAAAGCAAGAATATATTTAAGTAGGTACCGTGTTGTTGTTTTCCGTTGCTCACATGAAAAAATGTGAAATCTCATGAATGAATATATAGACAAACGCGAGAAAAAACTAAGAGAAACAGAAATGTATAAATAGTTACATATAACACTGATATGTGTGTTATGTAGGTTAAATATTTAATAAAAAATAAGCTAAAAAAATTTTTAGTACCTACATAACATATTGTATTGGAGGCAAAATAAGTACCTACAAAAATAAGGATGAAAAGACGGTCAATTAATTTAATACAAGACAGTATTTGTAAATACAAAAATACATTGTATAGAATCTAGTGTCAAATAGATAAAAGCAAACTTGAATTTTAAAGTGGGTACTGACTGGCAAAATATTACTCCAGAAGCAAGAAACATGATTTTATTTTAGTAATGATTATTTTTAGATATAGTCTAGGAGTTAGAAGAATTTAGCTCATAGGACGATGAAGATGTAGCAGTATAGTTATATAGGAACGTATAAGTCGGATCGAAGTGACTACAGAAAAATCAAATTATTAAAAATTAAAGATACGTATACATACTGCAAAAACATTTGTTCTAGAAAATAAAAACCTTAGATCTACGTCTGGATTTATTGAGAACAAACCAATGAATTAAAAATCAATGGTATTAATATTAGACAAAGTAAAGATTGAGACAGTTTAGGGAAATCTTCCTACTCAGAATACAGCAAAAGTGAGTCTTTGAAATATTGAGGTTTTTCCTAATAAAGACAAATAATCATAAAGCAAAAAGAAACTAAAAATAAGCATTATATGTATACTCACTAGAACGGACAAAAAGGCTATTATTGATTTTTTGAAAGCGCTGTCAGCCAGACAAGAGAATGTTTTATTTAATGAAAAATCAAAGAGGATATTTATATTGAAAATATTTATAACTAAAATAAATGTTGAATTATTATCAAAGTTATGCTATATTTTATTTTCAGATTAAACTATACTATTTGGAATACCAAACATTTTATCCATAAAGAATTCTTATACAACGGTTAAATCTGTCAACACAGCCCGCATATCAGCTGGAAAAGAGCATGCGCATCTGGCAAAATATGATCTTACGGATAGTGCGCGTACGTGCTCTAAGCGCTGGCTTCGCCCTATTCTAAATTAATAAAAACTTTGTTATTTGTTTGTTGATATTAACCTAAAGTTGGATACTGGGGTGCAAAATGGATGTGTCAAGTGTCTTTTGTGATCTGGGACATGTCCCGAAAGTGATACGTTGGCGAAAAAAGCGAGATTAACCTCATTTTGGGTAAGTGGACTTGATGACAGTTTATGTGTGTCCTTGGTCGAAAGGGTGTTATAAATACGGTAAATCGTGTTTTTATGCATGTGCGTACGGAATGTCAGTCATTCATTTGTTTATTTTGACATATTTTTTTGTTCTTATGGAGGTACAAATCATTAATATTGTAACAAAAACAAGGTGGGCTTTGAGCTGTCATTTTAGACGTTGATTTTCCATCTTGCTCATTTTCATTTTTGGGCAACGAGTAAAATATAGAACATGCGAGACATTTAAATCCTTTTTTTTTGATAATTTGTTCATGCTAATGAAAGTAACAGTCTTTTACTATTATCTGTTTTTTATGTTAACAGCTATTATCAACGCAGTGGGTGATACGGTTTCGAAATATCGACCCTACTCTCCCTCTTTTTCTGTTTGGTGTTTCCTAACTTCTCGATTAGGGGGACATGATTGACAATAGAAAGACAAATTATCTTGATTTGGAATAAATGGAAATTTATTTAAATATTCCAAACAGGAATTTTAAAAGTAATTCACTATAGCTAAATGTTATATTTTTGTTATTTGCTAACCTTAGGTTCTTTGTTTTGATCTCACCAGTTTTTGTCAAGATGGTAGCCTAAATATTCCACCAAAATATCAAGCATGGAATGAGGGAAGAAATCGGGTCATCGGCCCCAATGCAGACTAAAATATTTAGTCCGATAATATTTACACAGAACATTCCTTTTAACAGACAGTAAAAAGACAAATAAAATAATACAAAATGCAAAACCCAACAATCAAAGGGGACAAAAGTAAACATGTTTTAAGTGTATACTGTGCAGTTTTGAAGTAAACTTTACTTTCAATTGAAATTTGCTAAAAAAAGGCATACATGCTGGTACAACATAGCACAGTAAAGCGAATTTTAGACAATTGTGTGTAGATATGAAGAATGAATATGTAAGGGAGGCTACACCATAATTTGTAGAATATGGTTAGAATGTATATTATATATATACAGTCAAAATCGTTTACAACGACACCGGCTATAACGTACAATCGGATATAACAAACAAAATAGTAGGTCCCATAAAATGACATACAAAAAACGCATTTATATTGCTTATAATGAACAAATCGGTTAGAGCAAACGTATTTCTTGGAACACTAGTAGTTAAAATATTGGTTACAGCGTACATCTTAATAAATAAGTTTAAAAGTGCTATCCTGTAAAGTTATGAAAATGGACAATGTAGTGTTGTATTTCTCACAGATATTACCGATATTTAATACCACGAAATGAGAAGTAAGGATTTATTAATTTATGGTTATAGTACATCCGGACAGGCATCTACTGTTACAGTTGACAGTTAGACCTCCCAAGACGGGTCCATTGTATTACAAAATTTTGTTTATACATATTTCATAACATACATTGAATTTGAATTCAGTTGTGTCTAGCCTTCATTGAAAAAATGTCATGGAAACAATTTACTATTGAGGAACAGTTTGGAATAATTTGCCGAGTCGATTCCGGTGATTCCGCGAGTTCGATTGCCCGGGAATTTAAAACGTCACGCTCGACAATTGCTAGAATAATGAAAAGGCGAGAGAAAATTATTAAGCCATTTAATAAGTGTGAAAAAGGAAAACGCGTTCGGTCATCAAATTACAGTGACATTGAAAGTGCTTTGCTCGATTGGTTTAAACAACGCGCAAACAATGTACCCGTGAGTGGGCCGATGCTTCAACGTTTTCGAGCTCGCCACAATATTGTCCATGGAAAAATTTCAGGTGAGTCAGCAGTTGTTGACAGATCAATTATAAATGACTGGGTTGAAAACGTGTGGCCTACACTCAGGTCCGACTATAGCGATGATGAAATTTTTAATGCTGACGAGATGGGGTTATTTTTTAGACTGACACCTGATCACACGTTAAAGTTTAAAGGCGAGAAATGTTCCGGTGGTAAACTCTCAAAAGAGCGTGTTACAGTTCTTGTTGCAGCCAACATGTCCGGTTCCATAAAAAGGAAGCTTTTGGTGATAGGAAAAAGTAAAATGCCGCGCTGTTTTAAAAACGTGAAAAATCTCCCTGTTGATTATGATTTCAATAAAAAGGCCTGGATGACGTCAGCTATTTTTGAAAAGACTTTACTAAAATGGGACAGTGAACTTTTACAACAAAAGAAACACATAATTTTAATTGTCGACAACTGTCCGTCCCACCCTCCAGTTGACAGGTTAAAACAAATTAAACTCGTTTTTCTGCCTCCAAATTGTACGTCTGTACTGCAGCCCATGGACCAAGGAGTTATAAGAAGTCTTAAAGCATGCTTTCGGAAAGAATTGGTGTACAAAATCATCGAAAAGAGAGAGAATAACGACGATACGGAAGTCAGTATTCTTGACGCTGTACTAATGATATCAAAGGCATGGGAATCTGTGCGGAAGGAAACGATCATCAACTGTTTTCATTTTTCCGGCCTAACTAAAGACTTACAACCATCAGGAATCGCATACAACGTTATTGCACAAACGCATTTGCAGGATGCCATTTCCCTTTTCAGTTCTGACTGCTCTGCAGATGACTATGTACGAGTGGATGACGAAATAAGTACGAGCGAAGAACTCTCAGATATTTACATCGTACTGAGTCACCAAACTAGTGACAAACAAAGTACTGATAAGGCTGATGAAGAATTGAAAGATTTCGGCAAAATCCCTACTGTTGCTGAAGCGTATGCTGCTTGTTCCACCATATGAGCATTTATTCAGACTGCTGAAACTTCCTAGAGTGTAAAAGAATCATTATCGATTGTTTCCACATCAATTGAAAAAATGTTTTTTTCAGAAGTTCAAGGAAGGCGACAAACAAAAATTACAGACTTTTTTCATTAAATATTCAGGTAAAATGTGTTTACATATTTTGTAATACATATATGTATGTATTTTTTTTGTCTTTTTAAAATAAATAGTATATGTATGCCTACATTTTTATAATACGAAGATTTGGAGAAGCCGTTATATTATGTGTATACTTTATTCACTACTGATACTTATTTCAATACATATTATACATATATGTATGTACATATTTAGATTTGATTAAGTACAATAAAAACATATGTTAAATGTTATGTATATGTTATTATAACATATTATAAGTATAGTTAAAGTAACACATTTTTGCGTCATAACCCTAGGTACGACGAACTAACTGTCCCTATTAGTGTAATATTGTTTATAGCAACCTGTTCATTATAACCGATAGAACTGCTTACAGAGAACACTGGCTACAACGTACAAAAAGCACCAGTCCCCTGAAGTTCGTTATAAACGATTTTGACTATATATATATATATATATATATATATATATATATATATATATATATATATATATTACTATATATGTTAAACCTAGAGCTAAGGTTAATACTATTACAAGAATTAATAATCAACTCAACAGTCTTCAGGGTTAAACCGCATCAATTATCATGCCTCTTTGATTTCTTCTAGTAAGTTTCAATATCGTTTCACTCTTTACAAACATTTCTATACACGAAACTCTAAACGTTATGAAAACTAAATAGAGTATCCAGCAAGACCACTTATCTTTCATTAAACAGTGTATGTCCAACACTTATTTTATCTTCCAAAATCAATTCTATAGACAATAAACGGTGCCCCAATGGGCTCTCCACTATCTCCAGTAATTGTCAATATCTTTATAGAAGACTTCCAATTCAATTTCAGCTCTAGGTCAACACCAACTTCATACAGGTCACAAAATTGATTTTGAAAATGCTCGACCCATAGCCCCTAACCTATCAACCAAGAATTATCCGAAAAGCCATAGAAATTGAAAAATGCCAAATTGTCTCAATAAAAAAGATGACAACATATGGTAACCTTCAATATGGAGACCTCTCATAATGAAAATATCTTCTGCTCCACCCACCAATCAGGTCACCATTGATGCTGATGGTATAAATTAACTGTCAGTTGTTCTCAATAATGCATTGGTTAGTGATCATTGTAGTAGTGTCTGGACTCTAGAGATTGAGTCCTCGGAAGTCCTGAAGAAGAAATCAAAGAGGATGTTGAAAGTTCGGCACAATGATAATCGACGAGGTTCAACAGGAAAGACTATTAAGTTTAATATTAATTTTTGTAAGGGTATTAATCTTAGCTCTAGGTTTAATTGTACTAACTGCTATAACTATATATATATATATATATATATATATATATATATATATATATATATATATATATATATACTTCTAGCGGTTAATGTGGGCTCCGTACTAAAACGGTATTATACTAACTCCAGGAGAATATACGCCGTGTATATTATTATCTGAGTAGCGCTTTATGTAGACTCCGACCAACACGTCGGATCAAGTGGACTCCGTAACTGGATAAAACATTTTTGGGATCCGTATACAGCTTTTAGCGTACACAACTAAGCTCCTGCGATGTTGCCAGTAGTTGTATTAGTCGTAGATTTTCAAATTTTAGAGCAGGTACATTTTAGAACTTAAAATTTATTTAAATATCCACCAGGTTAGTCATCGAAGAATTCCAAGAATATTTGGCTACTGTTTTTAAATATATTATAATATAAATTGTTAATATAATTTTATTTTATTTTTATGTTTAATAAGCACTTTGATAATTTAAATTACTTGCTCTAATTATTTTCAAACTTTAGTATCCATTATAAACTTATTAATGCTAATATATAGCATTATTTTATAGCATTCTAATATTTTAGCTATGGATTAAATCCGAATAGCTTTTTGATATTACTTTACTTTCTCGGAGACATTATATTGTAACACAAGGATCTTATTATATTACCAAAACCTTCCTTTCATATTTTATTCACTTATAAGGGGCAGCACTAACATCAGTAAGATAATAAGGCGTACCTATAGTTCTGGGCAGCTTAATAGAAAACTTGAATGTAGCAATTTTATTGGTTTCGGGACTGCTAACTGAATTGGGGAAG